GGGGGGGGGGTGAGAGGAGGGGGAATGCGTGAGGAAGGAAAGAAAGATGAAAGACGTATGTTGAGGGGGGGAGGGGGAATGTTTTGATTTGTTTGAAAAGCTTGCAGCCCTAACAGTTTAGTCACTTTTTTTGAGGTTTTCCTCAAATTTGAATATTTGGTTTTTGAGGTTGTGGTATTCTTGCGTGTGTGGAGGTGTGTGGGTTGTATTGGAATCTAAATTCTGAAAACAAAAACAGATATAGCCGTGGATATAGCCGTGGATATAGCCGTGGATATAGCCGTGGATATAGCCGTGGATATAGCCGTGGATATAGCCGTGGATATAGCTTTGTTAACTTCTGCAGACACACATTGATGTAGACCTATTTTCATCATTTTATAACGTTCATGGTTTTAAACCTAGAAATAAGGTTTTACATTAATAAATGCTTTCAAATAGATTCATATATATAGTAATATAAATCAGACCAATACATTTTTTTGTCGAAATTAATTCGATCTGAATTAGCAAATAATAATATTGATTGCTTGTATCTATGCTTGATGACAAATTATCAAATTCAACCGTTATCCTACATATTGTTATTTTAGCCCGCGGTTAAACATCGAACGTTGGGGCATTAAAAGCTGTTTGATTGACATATTATTACAGACCAAAGAAAGTATGGGGTTAACTACCGTATATTCTGATTAAAAATCGTGAAACAAAAATAATGATATTGCTCACTCCGAACTAGACAAAGGAGAAAATGTATGCAACATCGCCGGTACAATCTTCTCTAAGAAAAGCAAGTTTATTTGATTGCAAATTAGAAATTCAAAAACATTTTTTCTTCTCATAACCATTCAATTAAAGGAGTCATGATTGAAAAAAGGAAGATTTCAATCTTACGTAAAGTTTACTTTAGTTTGAAGTGAAAGCTGTCGAGCAGCAATAGGACATCTTTCCCTTGGTAAAAATACAACGAACTAAGTGTAAATATATAGATACTAGAGAAACACTCGGATTTAATGGTTCAGTCCTTATCACAGAGAGCTGTGACTTTCAATCAAAATTTCACCTATAATTTGTTTGCCATTTCTTTTTCATACTTTTTTGTTGGCATAAGCGTTTTAAACAAAAATTATGTAAAAAAAACTTTTGAAGTTTAAAGATTGTTGAACTATAGACCACCACGTGAATGCAATTAAATTAAAATAAAAGAAACCGAATTAAGGAAGAAAAGTGGATAAAATGCAAGAAGATAACCGGATAAATGGCAGGATGAGAAGTGGATAAATGGCCTGAAGAGAAGTGGATAAATGGCAGGAAGAGAAGTGGATAAATGGCAGGAAGAAAAGTGGATAAATGGCAGGAAGAAAAGTGGATAGAGGCAGGAAGAGAAGTAAATAAATAGCAGGAAGAAAAGTGGATAAAAGGCAAGAAGATAACCGGATTAATGGCAGGATGAGAAGTGGATAAATGGCATGAAGAGAAGTGGATAAATGGTAGGAAGAGAAGTGGATAAGTTGGAATAAGAGTAGCGGATAGATTAGAAAAAGAATAAATGGCAGGAAGAAAAGTGGATAAATGACAGGAAGAGAAATGAATAAATGGCAGAAAGAAATTTGAAAGTCAGAAAAATGTCAGGAAGAGAAGTGGATAAATAGCTGGAACAGAAGTGGATGAATTGGAATGAGAGTAGCGGATAGATTAGAATTAGAATAAATGGCAGGAAGACAAGTGGATAAACGGCAGGAATATAAGTGGATAGATAGCAGGAAGTGAAGTGAAGAGAATTTCATGAGTAAAGAAAGCTCTGACTCTGAGCGAAATCATTTTAACACCTTGATAACCCTTATTTGGCTATGAACATAAACTGGGCGAAACTGATAAACCCATTATTCCGCAAATGAACATCATTAATTTTCAGTAAAAAAAAATATTTTTGTTCATAAAGGAATTATTGAGTTTAGGTCGACAGTCCCTTTTAGATTATCATCTTTATATAGTCCATTCTATACATTTCACACTTCTAGATTTCATTTACTTTTTTCACATTTAGCCATTTAATTTCCTATTTAATTTCCTATTCGTTTTCCTCCTCTCTTCCCTTCTATATATGTACACTAGCTTGGGAACCCAGCGTTGCCATGTTACTCATAGTTACTCCCGCCGTTTACCCAGGCTTGGTCTTAAATTACGGATTTAGGAACAGGGTGTCCCAAAAAACATGGGAATTCAGTGACGAATTCGATATCGTCTTTTCAAATAATTCTTTGATTTAGTATAGTGATACCTACTGAGAAAGCTGTAATCTGTAAGAGTTTCGTCTGCTATGTTTACATTTTGTTTGTTTATGTTTTGACTGCATACGGTTGTACTTAGTAAAACAAGAAAATTACAGTATACAAACAGAGTAAACTTGTCCGTCTTCACTGTTCATCTTGCGGAGACATTATAGACACATCTTTGCAGTCTTTTACCCTTTTCATAAAATAAACTCTAGCAGACATAATAATATTATGGCTTTTGAAATTAGGTATTACAATGCCAATTCATAACAAAGACGATATCGAATTCGTCACTGAATTCCCATGTTTTTTGGGACACCCTGTATTTTTCCCTTTTAAAGTCGACACGCTCATCTTAGAATCTTAAAAGCAAGCTAAGAACATTCTCGTGGTTCTCCCGAGTTCCCCAATCAAACTTTAAGGACATCGTTCCATGGGTTCATGAATCATGGATAGACATAGAAGACTAACAGAAATTGCTACTTTATATATATATAGAGGTTCTCTAACATGTCATCATACTAGCTCATATCTATAGTAAAAGACCTCATCCGATATTATCCTCCTCTCTAGTTTTGGGCTGCAGCCTCGATCTCTATTCTCTGCCCAGGGAGCCCAGGACAGATATAGGTTTTCCAGGCATGGTCGGCCTACATGTTAGTTTTTCCCGGCCCTAAGCCTCTCTCGTGGCTGAGGCTGAGGTTTACTCTTAGGAATTTTAGATGGTCTCCGCTACTTCATAATTTTTACAGAACAAATTTTTGAGACTGAACTTCGGGTATTTTCCGCAAACTTCTCTTGATCTTGTCTCAAGAAAGTAGTGAACAATTCAAAGTTCTTGTGGCTTAATTATTCACTTCTTTCTTTCCCCCACAGTTTTGGTGACCCCCGTAAATTCTTTAATTTTTATATTATAATCTGTAAACAGATCTAAGGTTTTTAAAATCATCATAAATATCAAAATTGAAACAATTTCTCTAAAAATAAGACACGATTCGCAATACATTTTTAATGACACCTTGATTAGATTTGGATTTATCTTTAAAGAAGCCGTGATTAGAATTGGACTATATCTTAAATGAAACCGTGATTAGATTTGGATTATATCTTTAATGAAACCGTGATTAGAATTGGATTATATCTTTAATGAAACCGTGATTAGATTTGGATTATATCTTTAATGAAACCTTGATTAGATTTGGATTATATCTTTAATGACACTGTGATTAGATTTGGATTATATCTTTAATGAAACCTTGATTAGATTTGGATTATATCTTTAATGAAACATTGATTAGATTTGGATTATTTCTTTAATGAAACCTTGATTAAATTTGGATTATATCTTTAATGAAACTGTGATTAGATTTGGATTATAAACTGTGATTAGATTTGGATTATATCTTTAATGACACCTTGATTAAATCTGGATTATATCTTTAATGAAACCTTGATTAAATTTGGATTATATCTTTAATGAAACCTTGATTAGATTTTGATTATTTCTTTAATGACACTGTGATTAGATTTGGATTATATCTTTAATGAAACCTTGATTAGTTTGGATTATACTTTTAATGAAACCTTGCTTAGATTTGGACTATATCTTTAATGAAACCTTGATTAGATTTGGATTATATCTTTATTGATTAGATTTGGATTATATCTTTAATGAAACCGTGATTAGATTTGGATTATATCTTTAATGAAACCTTGATTAGATTTGGATTATATCTTTATGACACTATGATTAGATTTGGATTAAATCTTTAATGACACCTTGATTAGATCTGGATTATATCTTTAATGAAACCTTGATTAAATTTGGATTATATCTTTAATGAAACTGTGATTAGATTTGAATTATATCTTTAATGAAACCTTGATTAGATTTGGATTATATCTTTCATGAAACCTTAAATAGATTTGGTTTATATCTTTAATGAAACCGTGATTAGATTTGGATTATATCTTTAAAGAAACCTTGATTAGATTTGGATTATATCTTTAATGACACCTTGATTAGATTTGGATTATATCTTTAATGAAACCTTGATTAGATTTGGATTATATATTTAAGGACACTGTGATAAGATTCGTATTACATCTTTAAATAAACCTTAAGCAAAAATCGGAATATCATTGTATATATATCGTTTTTTTAATATAAATATTTCTAAATCTTTCTTCTTTTTTAGCCCTACTGCGTGTGCACCCCGCGAGGACAAGATGATGACCTAGATAGCTCTAGGGAAAGTGAAGAAGGAGATGAAGACCTTGATAGCTCTAGGGAAAGTGAAGATGGAGATGAAAGGATTGATTCTAACAGCTCGTCTAATAATTGGTTCCAGAGCCAGGATATTGAATCAGAGTCGCGCGGAGGTTTCCGGCAAAGGAGTTGAGTTTTTGCCACAAACTCTGATTTTCTAATCACTATATCTTTAGAACCAAAAGTTGCAGACCTTAGATATTTCAAACTATGAATTGTGTTAGATCAAATAATCTGAGTTTGAAATATCAAAGGTTTACAACATCGGGTTAAGGTTTAAATATTTGATTTTGTTCCAAATACTCAATTCCTTTACCTGTCCCAAAATGATTGATACCAGTTAAACCCCCTTATCTCCTCCTCTTGAATTACCAGTCTTAACCGA